AAAAGTAGAGGACACTCTTATGATAATCTTCTTGAGCAAAAATGTTGGATTGGACGGCGGGTAAGGTTACACATTGTCTGGTGGTGGGATTATAGATACACGCCTTTCTGCAAACAATGTAGAGAATCAAGCCGCGAAGAATCATCATGTTGCGTCCTCCCATCCCTGGCATTGCCAAATCTTGGTGGAAAGACTTAGCATTAGTACTAGACGATGATGATAATGATAGCAATACAGACTCGCGAGGGTTATAGCAGACTTCCATTGAATTACACTGGATGTGGTCCACCAAACTCATGTAGAGACGAGGTGGTCGCGGTGGGGATGCGACCTTAAGATAACAGTTGCTAAAACATCGAGAACGGATAAGAGAAAACCAGAGCTTTGAAACGCACTTGAACCTCATCAGCGATTTAGCAGGCAATCTAATCAGAATCTCGATCTGGAGATCCAAAGGAATCTCCGATGCGAACCAATCGTCCCCTCGTCTTCTTCTCATTGCCTTTGACGACTTTTTCTTCCATTGAAAAGATGAAATCAGAGCTAGAGACATAACAATAGCTACTAATTTCACAAACTTTTATATCAGAGCTGGAAATTTTGATAAAAATTTACTCTTTTTTCTAAGGAAAGGAAGGAAAAAAAAAATAAAGAAGCTCTTTTTGAGATCTGAGTAAGAGAGACAAAAACAGAGGAAGAAGACGAGCAGGCTGAGCTCACGATTCTAGGTTTTCAAAATCTTTGGCAATTTTCTTCTTACACCCAAACGACGTCGTTTGTCTTTGCTCTAGTCTAAGGAAAAGTAGTAAACTCTTTGGGCTACCAATAATTGGGCCTTAATTTGTGCTCTCAAACTCTTTTATGATGAAGCAAGAGATGATGATAGGCTGATAATACGTACCCCGGGCCATTAGCGGATTGCTTCAAAATTTGTTAAAGAATGAATACTAACTTGTGAACTTAATGTAATGAAACAAGCTGATCTAAATGATTCTTTTAAGGCAAATACCATAAAAAAATTTTTACCTACATATGTAAAAGCCAGTCTATTTACCCTGATGGAGCTGGTTTGTGACTTTTCCATCCGCGGTTATTTTCTTTGCTTTACTATGAACAACATCCACTTTTACAAATATATCATCCATCATCTTCCTGTTATGTGTGTTTGACTTGCACATACTCACAAGATGCCACGCTGTTGTTATCTACATAATTTCATTCCTTTCTTTCGTACCTTAATACTATTTTTCATTTGATAGTGCTTTGTTATCACAGATTTCATTTAAGGGTTTCTGATATCTTGATCTAAAGTGTATATATATGACTCCACTTTTTCAATTAGCATGGGCGCCCAGGTATCTGCATTTTAACCGAGTGGGATGAGTTCAAGAAACTCGATTTCCAACGGATCTTTGAGAATATGCAGAAACCGGCTTTTGTTTTTGACGGTAGAAACGTGGTCGACGCTGATAAACTCAGGCAGATTGGGTTTATTGTTTACTCCATTGGTAAGCCATTGGACCAGTGGCTCAAGGACATGCCTGCTCTTGCCTCAACAACAACCAAACCTCTTCCTTAGCTTTTTTCTCCATTTTTTCCTAATTCTCATGAGTTTTTCCATATATCTTTAACTATGTTTTGATCAATAATTGTCGCTTTTTTTTCTTGGTTTTATGAATTCCAACAGAGATTTTAGGTTTGGTTTTTGTTGGTAATTATGTACCTTGGGTTATCAAATATTGTAAAGCTTTTCGAGTATTATTTTCATAATATAAAAGCTTTCCCTAGCTGGATTTCTACTTCAGTTTCTAATATGAGTAAAAGATTCTGTTAAATTATTTTTCCAATTTAGTCGACGCCTCCACGGTCATGATGTGCCACGTGGGAACCTTGTAGTCGAAAAATAAAGTTTCGCTCCTCTGTTCTTGACGATTTACTATAATGCCCCTTTCACGACGTTACTTCGCTCAGTGCTTATATCTTCTCCGCTTCTCTCTGTTTCCTCCATTCCTCTCGCTCACTTGTTCTCCCGAAAAGTCACAGAAACTCAAAATGTTTGTATTCTTTCGTTTGATTCGATAGTCTCAAGCTTCTCTGTTTCTTCGACACTTTCTCTCTCAGTATTTCTCAGGAAAGTGACGAGAAACAGAGCATAATCCTCCTTATTTCTTCAACTCATCTGAGAGTTTCTTTGATAATGAGTCCGGCTTGGGTTTGTTGCTTTATTATCTACCTCTACATCATCTACCTCGTCTTCATTGACTTCTTCTTTATCAACAAACCCCGTGTATTTCGCGCCTAAATGGAAGAAGAACACCAAGATCTTCTACATAAACCCATCTATGGAGCTCTGCGAAATCTGAAGATTACTCAGTCACGCAACAAACCAACAGCGAGATTTTACTTGTTACTACGGTATAAGGGAAAACCCGAAGAAGAAAACCCTGGAATCTCCGGAACTAATGAAGAAGATTTTGTTTCGATGCGAAGAATGTGGAAAAGGGTTTCGGTACGAGAAATGTTTTTCAAATCATCGAGCGACGATGCATTTATCGACGAACCAGAAGGTTTATGAAGAATCCATGATGACTCTGTGTCGTATCTTCAGTTTTGTGAGGAAGAAGAAAAGATCGAGACTTGTTAGGTATAAGAAGACTTCATTTTCTTGTTCGTATAGTACATTTCTTGAACCGCGTTCTGTTTTTGATGCGAATGATGAAGAATTAGAAGTGGCGGATTGTTTGATTCTATTGTCTGAGAGTACTCCCAAGTTTGTAGACGGACTGAAACTTCTTGCTGAGGCAGTACATGTTACTCATGATTCATGAAACACCTAAAAGTAGCTATGATTTGGGTTGTTTGCGTAACAAGAAACCGCGAAAAGGTGGTGAATTTGAATATGGGGTTTTCAGTGATGAGCAAAGATTTATGGAAGAAAGGTTTAGTAGTTATGGAACATCGAAAGAACCAGCTAGCTTCTTGAGAGATGATAACAGATTGGATCAGCAGAAACGAAGAAAAGCTGGTGAATTTGAATCTGGGTTTTTGAGTAATGAGCAAAGAATGCTAAAAGAAGAGATTACTACTCCTGTTACATTCAAAGGTCCAGCAAGTTTCTTGGGATACAAGTGTGTTTTGGATCAGCAGAAGCTGCGAAATGGAGGTGAATTTGGTTCTTTGAGTAATGAGCAAAAACTGATGGAAGGGACATGGAAAGAACCAGCGAGTTTCTTGGGAACAAAGATTGAATTGGAACAGCGGAAACTGCGAAAAGCTGGTGACTTGGAAAACTGGGTATTACAGAACTGAGCTTGGAGTAGGAGCTATGGAGTGTTCTGATTCAGATACTGAGATGATCACTGAATCTGATAAGAAGAACGTTGAGCATCAATGCAGGTTTTGCAACAAGATATATTCGTCTTATCAAGCATCAGGAGGTCATCGGATGAGCAAATGTAAGAACAAGAAGAATTTCAGAGAGGAATCAGTGAACAGTGTTCGCTTGGTTACAATGACTAAATATCTGATTATTTGACAACATATTTTGGAAGTGATATTTGCCTGCAATAGACCAAGATATTTAAGAGAGAAGCAGATATTACTTAAATCCAAAACAGACACCAAGTATATTCCTGTTTTGCAGAAGGTGCACATGGTAAATCTGAAATCACAAACCAAAACCAGTGTATCGCTCAATCACAGGATTTAATGAGAGTTTAGAAATCCTTGTTGAGCTCACTGCAATCTAAATCCATGTTTTGCAAAAGGTGCACATGGTAAATCCGAAATCACAAACCAAAACCAGTGTATCGCTCAATCACAGGATATAATGAGAGTTTAGAAATCCTTGTTGAGCTCACTGCAAGATGCATCCCTGTTTTGCTGGCTGGGAGCTTAATAGCTATGACCATACTTTCGACGACGGTGCTTCTTCTTACCCTTCCTATGACCAAACATCCTCTTCTGTGCTGCAGTGAGGCTCATGGTCCCAGGACCTCTATTGAGCTTTTTCCTTGCAGACCGGCTAAGTTGAGGCTGAGACACTTGCACAACAGGAGGACGTTGAACAGGGCGTGGGAGATCTCTGATCAGATGGTTTCTGTTGACAGTCAGACCTGTCACAACAAACAAAAAAAAAGATACAGGAAATAATCAGAATCCACCATATCAAACGACGGAGGTAAATCTGAGAAATAAAGTAAGAATGTTTTCATACTATTTTGATTTGCTATTTCAAATTGTAAAATTTCAGAACCTAAAGAAAGAGTTTAAAACCTCATAATAACCAACTCAGATCTAAAGAAGAAAGAGTTGTTTACCTGGGAGAGCAGCTTCTTCTGGAGCAACATGAACAGGGACAAGAGGAGCTACAAAATTCAAGAATAGTTGAAAGATAGCCTCACGTCAGGACGCACAAGAGCTACAGACATATACATGATATAAAATAAAATCTCCTAAACACAGAGTTCAATACCTAAAGATCAGAGAGAATTAATTCAAACATCGAGATCCTGAATCAGAGAGCACATAAACCTAACATAGAGATCTAAATCGGAGAGAATCAAAACCTAAAAACACATAGAGAACTAATCATGCAGATAAATAAGCAACGATGAATCTGAACCTAGCTAACAAGCATCGTACAACCGTGCTAATCATAATTTACCAGAACTATCGAAAATCTGAGAGAATAAACCCCTGAAATCAAAATCCTATCACGCACTTAAGGAAGAAAGAGAGTTATACCTTGGAGAGCAGCTTGCTCTTGAGCAACAGCAACAAGGTCAGGATTGGCATGCACAGGGACGACGAGAGGAGCTACAAAATTCAAGAATAGTACAAAGACAGCCTCAGGAGCACATTTAGCAACGAAACAAACAGCAAAATCAAACACAAACCATGAACACATTTAGCAACAAAACAAATTGCAAAATCAAACATCGAGATCCTGAATCAGAGAGCACATAAACCTAACATAGAGATCTAAATGGGAGAAAATCACAACCTAAAAGCACAGAGAGAACCAATCACGCAGATAAATAAGCAACGATCAGGATTAGAGAGCATAAACACCTGAAATCAAAATCCTATCACGCAGCTAAGGAAGAAAGAGAGTTATACCTGGGAGAGCAGCTTGCTCTTGAGCAACAGCAACAAGGACAGGATTGGCATGCACAGGGACGACAAGGGGAGCTACAAAATTCAAGAATAGTAAAAATACAGCCTCATGTCAGGAACACATGTAGCAACAAAACAAACAGCAAAATCAAACGCAAACCATGAACACATTTAGCAACAAAACAAATTGCAAAATCAAACATCGAGATCCTGAATCAGAGAGCACATAAACCTAACATAGAGATCTAAATGGGAGAGAATCAAAACCTAAAAACACATAGAGAACCAATCACGCAGATAAATAAGCAACGATCAGGATTAGAGAGCATAAACACTTGAAATCAAAATCCTATCACGCAGCTAAGGAAGAAAGAGAGTTATACCTGGGAGAGCAACTTGCTCTTGAGCAACAGCAACAAGGACAGGATTGGCATTCACAGGGACAACGAGAGGAGCTACAAAATTCAAGAATAGTAAAAAGAAAGCCTCATGTCAGGAACACAATTAGCAACAAAACAAACAGCAAAATTAAACGCAAACCATGAACACATTTAGCAACAAACCAAATTGCAAAATCAAACATCGAGATCCTGAATCAGAGAGCACATAAACCTAACATAGAGATCTAAATCGGAGAGAATCAAAACCTAAAAACACATAGAGAACTAATCATGCAGATAAATAAGCAACGATGAATCTGAACCTAGCTAACAAGCATCGTACAACAGTGCCCAATCAGAAATTCACCAGATCTAGCGAAAATCGGAGAGAATAAACAGCTGAAATCAAAATCCTATCACGCACCTAAGATCAACGCAGAGAAAATAAGCAACGAATCCATACCAAAATCGGAATACAACATCAATGAGTGTGTTCGATAGGTTCAAAATCTCGTCGTCTATGATTTCAGAAATCGAGTTTCGTTCAAGTATCAAATAGTTCATCGTTACCAGATCCAGATTTACCAAACTCAAAACACTTCCGACGAACACTTTTAGCAACAAAACAAAAGCAAAATCCTCCTTCTAAACACGAAATCGCTACAAAATCCTTGCTCGGAAACAAGTTTTAGGTCATCTGAAGAAGGAAGATGTCGAAAAATTTACCAGCTCTTGCTCTTCTCGAAAATCGCCTTCGCAAGCAGAGCATCTTACTCATCTTCATTTTCGAAAATCTTTTTCTGAAATGAAATGAATTTTCAAAATCCGTAAAATGCGTTGAGAAAGCGGAAAATCTTATTATATATTTATACAAAAATGTGGGCCTAACCCGCTTGGGCCATACATTTTTTGGGCCTAGTAATAATAACTTCCCTAAAACATTAATAATCATCATCGATTGTAGGATTTGCTAAAATTCTAGAAACAACAAACACTTATACTTTTTTTTTTTTTTTAAACGTAGAAAATGTTGATCTTAAATAAAGTTGTAAATAATTTATTTTCTTTTATTTCAAGGAAACTTTAGCTGATAAATTTAAAAGTTTCACAATTTCGGTGGACAATAATAATTATAGATCATTCATTTAGTATTATGTATCTAATTGGACCTACATCGTTCATGAAATTAAGTATAGCCCAATAACAAATTTTCATTGATTCATCATCCATTTATGGGTTTCTGAATGAGAGATCTTTAAATACATGCATGATTATGATTAAGGTTATTTCTAGCTAAGATTTGGATATCTCTAGCTAAGCTAATTTGAATTAAGGGTTTTTGTTTAATCGGGATTATTTCAATAGGGGTTATGGACAGCTCTAAATATTCAAAACAGTGTAACGATTTAGGTGAGTTAATTAATCTAATTTAACCTATTCAATGTATCACATTAACATTGTTTGTCGACTAATTTAGATATAGGATTCTAACTAATAAAGATATTGACATACTATTTATTTAAGAAATTGAAATGGTTACGCATAAAACGTATTACAGTGCGATTAATTTCAGATTTCTTTACGATATGTTTTTAATCAATATAATTATTTTGTATTGTTTACATGTTTGTTTGCTTATAATATGACTTTAAAACGTATAAAAAGCTCAATTTGTTGAAAATTAAGAGTTCATATTTAGAAGACGATATGTTGTTACTTGTTAGTAATAACTTCATATAAAGACATTGATTGAAATGATGCAAGTCAAACACGATTTAGGTGAGTTAACTATACTAATCTAATTTAACATATTCATTGTATCACATTAACATTGTTTGTCGACTAATTTAGTTATGCACATATGGGATTCTAACTAAGAGAAATATTGACCTACAATTCATTTAAGAAATTGAAATGGTTACGTACAAAACGTGTTACATGTGTCGGTCGTGGCCTCGCAAAGAAGAAGAAGACTCGATACAACACAATGACACATTCTCGATGTCCGCAAGCAAACGGATTCAAGGGGTAATTTCGTCATTTCAGCTTCTACCTAAACGGATTCAAAGGTTAATTCAAACGGTTCCTTTTTCCATTTCTGTGATTATTCCCCTATTCTATTCATAGCTATAATTATGTACTTGGAGCTCAAGAAACAAAACTAATTCAAAAGCTTTAAGATTTTTCAAGTTTGTATCAAAAGTTCCTATTTCTCAAAGTTGAAGCATTTTTTGATGATTCAGAGCAAGAAGGATCAACGATCTCTGAATCTGGAAGCTGCGATTCTTATTCTGCTGGCCGTCGTCTTTTGCTGTCGGGGTTATGGAATTGCTTGAAGGAGAGATAAAGCTCATGATTTGATCTATCGTAATTGTAAATCTGGTCTCGGTGATCAATGTCATATTCTCTCCGTTCTTAGAAAACGGATTCAGGACCATTGGATCTGGTGCGAAGCTCAAGACTTTTCAGAATTTTCAAGAGCACAAGACCCCCCAAAATCTATGACATGGATGCAACCGAAACTTCACGGTCTTTGTTGGATAATTCCAACTAACTTGAGGAGCAAGTTATCTTCTTCTAGAAGATGCTAGAAGAGATACAAGAAAGGAAATCCAAGAAAGGAAATCAAGAGAAAAGGAAATACAAATAATGTCAAGTTGGACAAGATTTGTAAGTCTTCCTATTCACAATAGGCAAAGAAGAAGCTTGGTTCTAGTATAAATAAGAGCTTTATGAAGAACAAGAGAGGCAGCTCAGCAGGGGAGCTCGTGCAGCTCAAGCGGGGAGCTCGTGTAGCTCAGAGGAGCTCAAGGAGCTTGAGTAGCTCGTATAGCCGAAGTAGCTCAGAGGGTAGCTCAGAGGTAGCTCAGAGGAGAGCTCGTGAAGGCAGCTCAAGAGGAGAGCTAGTGAAGAAGAAGAGAGAGAGCTTGAGAGAAAGCTCAAAGAGCTTAGTGTAGCTCAAAGAGCTTAGTGTAGCTCGGGGAGCTCGAATAGCCCAGGGGAGCTCGAATAGCTCAGGGTGAGCTCAGAACAGCTCGGGGGGAGTTCTGCTACCAGAGAAGCTCCAGCATCCGAAGATGAGAGTTAAGACACGTGGAGGTGTTGAGACAGATCTCATGAGAGTCTAGAGAAAGAGACTCATATAGGCTTAGGGGTAGATAAGTTCTATATATGAGAGGCTATGGAGAGTTGTTCCATAAGACCTCAGAGAGGACAGAAGAGAGAGATTTCGTTTTGTGAAGTTTCTAAATCAATAAAGAAAGGTTATTCTTTAATCTCTTGTTCTCGTGTTGCTGAATCACTTTCTGAATCATTCAGTAACTTAATCAGAGCAGTCAAGATAAGGTGATCTTGATTTGAATTGGTATCAGAGCAAGTCGGCTCTGAACTTTATTTGGTATCAGAGCTTCTGGTTTGAAGACTCTAGACGAGACCTATGGTATGGCAGAGCTTAGTTTGAAGACTCTGTACAAGTTCAGAACTTAGTTTGAAGACTCTGGACAAGACCTGTGGTGTGTTAGAGCTTAGTTTGAAGACTCTAGACAAGACCAGTGGTACGTGACTCGTAAACAAGTATGGCAAGCGAGAATCCACAACCACGAACCAAGATCATTCATATTGTAGCATCCCTGGAGCAAGTTCTTGACCTAAAGCGGATGGGGTTTGAAGACATTGTTGGGAGGTTACTGGAGTATGAAGAACGTGTTGAGTAAGAAATCCAAAGTAAAGACCAAGGACCTCAAACCCTAAGCATGGAGGCTACGGGAAGTTTCGAGCAGGAAACAGAGGCGGTTATAACAAGAAGACGTTATAACAAAGGAAGCTATAACTACGGTGGTTATGGTAGAGGAAGCTTTGGAGGTGACAGTTCCGGCAGAGGCATGGGACAAGGAAGGTCCGTCTTGCAATCTCAAGGAGGAGTAACCGGTGATCACAACCAAAAGCAGAATTTATCCAAAGTGATGCGACAAGGCTGGTCAGCATCAAGTTGTTTGGAGATAAGCAAGGCAACATGTCTGCAAGCTGAAGGACTTCCTGAGGGACATGCTGAAGGACTTGCTGCAGGACTCGTTGAAGGACTCGCTGAAGGACTGACTGAATGAATTGCTAATGAATCTACAAGAACATGGCATGCTCAGTTAGGTCATATAAGTTTTTGAGTTGATTCGCGAAGAAGATGCTGGAGAAGGACATGAAGCAGATGATGTCATGGAGGATATCACTCAAGACAACCACGAGGGTGAGGTTGGTGAAGTAGTTCAAGGACTAGCACAACTGAGAAGGTCAGGTCGACAATTGAATCAGCTGTAGTACCTTGAAGACTATGTTCTGAAGTCCGAAACAATTTCCGGATTATTCCAGCAAGCTTATGTTGAAAGTGAGAGACGAGCCAAGATCAACAAGAACATGTGGTTCCTTGTTGACATATCGATTGAAGTTTTCGATCGGTACAAAAGGTTTGAAGAGTGTGTGGAGAAGCAAGCCGGCTTGTCCATCAAAACCTTTCGCACCGATAAAGGAGGAGAGTTTATGGAGCTCAATCGATTACGCATAGAGGAGGAGTCTCTAGGCGTCTAATGAATATTCGATGTTGCATAGAGGAGGAGTCTCTAAGGATCTAATGGAGTTTAATCGATTACGCATAGAGGAGGAGTCTCTAGGCGTCTAATGAATATTCGATGTTGCATAGAGGAGGAGTCTCTAAGCATCTAATGGAGTTCAATCGATTACGCATAGAGGAGGAGTCTCTAGGCGTCTAATGAAGAATCGATATTGCATAGAGGAGGAGTCTCTAGGCATTTAATGAAGAGAGGATGTTGCATAGAGGAGGAGTCTCTAAGCATCTAATGAAGATTTGAGGTTGCATAGAGGAGGAGTCTCTAGGCACCTAATGAAGATTCTGAATGATATGTGGGGAGAAGCCGAACGTCATTCAAGCTTACTAAAAGCTAAGAAGATCATGAGGCCGCATCTCAAGATGGTAGATGATTGGTCAAGAAGTGTGATCACGAGGCCGCATCTCAAGAAGGTAGATGGTTGGTCAATATTGGAACCAAGCCAGGTTCTAATGATGCTAGAATCAAGTCAGATTCTAGAGATGCTAGAACCAAGTCGGGGTCTAGAGAATATCAAACCAAGTCGGGTTATGATATTTGGGTATTCTGTACTAGTCGTTGAAGTAGTACAGAGAGTACTACAGGAAGTTATTCAAGGAGTTGAACAAGAGGTTTGTGCTCAAGGAATACTTCTCGCTGAAGTAGTACATGAAGTATTACATGAAGTAGTACAAGACGTGATTCAAGGAGCAGAACAAGAAGGTTGTGTTCAAGGAATCGTTGAAGTAGTACAAGCACTAGTACAAGAAGTAATTCAAGGAGCAGAACAAGAGGGAGATGCTCAAGGAATGCTTGTGGATACTAAGATGCAGTCAAATTTGAAGATCTCAAAAGCTAAGGAGGAGCAAGAGATTGTATCTCAACAAAGGTTGAAGTTGAGAATGTTCAAGGTGTGGAGCAGAAGGCGGACACACTTACTAAGGCATTGGCGAGAATCAAGTTTCCCGGAATTCAAGTTGGAATTAAGGGGGAGAATGTTGGATAATTCCAACTAACTTGAGGAGCAAGTTATCTCCTTCTAGAAGATGCTAGAAGAGATACAAGAAAGGAAATCCAAGAAAGGAAATCAAGAGAAAAGGAAATACAAATAATATCAAGTTGGACAAGATTTGTAAGTCTTCCTATTCACAATAGGAAAAGAAGAAGCTTGGTTCTAGTATAAATAAGAGCCTTATGAAGAACAAGAGAGGCAGCTCAGCAGGGGAGCTCGTGCAGCTCAAGCGGGGAGCTCGTGTAGCTCAGAGGAGCTCAAGGAGCTTGAGTAGCTCGTATAGCCGAAGTAGCTCAGAGGGTAGCTCAGAGGTAGCTCAGAGGAGAGCTCGTGAGAGCAGCTCAGAGGGAGCTCGTGAAGGCAGCTCAAGAGGAGAGCTCGTGAAGAAGAAGAGAGAGAGCTTGAGAGAAAGCTCAAAGAGCTTAGTGTAGCTCGGGGAGCTCGAATAGCCCAGGGGAGCTCGAATAGCTCGGGGTGAGCTCAGAACAGCTCGGGGGGAGTTCTGCTACCAGAGGAGCTCCACCATCCGAAGATGAGAGTTAAGACACGTGGAGGTGTTGAGACAGATCTGAGACTCATATAGACTTAGGGTAGATAAGTTCTATATATGAGAGGCTATGGAGAGTTGTTCCATAAGACCTCAGAGAGGACAGAAGAGAGAGATTTAGTTTTGTGAAGTTTCTAAATCAATAAAGAAAGGTTATTCTTTAATCTCTTGTTCTCGTGTTGCTGAATCACTTTCTGAATCATTCAGTAACTTAATCAGAGCAGTCAAAATAATGTGATCTTGATTTGAATTGGTATCAGAGCAAGTCGGCTCTGAACTTTAGTCTTAAAATCTCAACGATATCAATATCTCTCTCGAGTAAACGGTTGAGATACTCAAGACAATCCTAGCAAAGTCCCCCTCGTGAGGTTGTGATGCGTCTTCATTGACTAGATCGTGCCTCGTTCTTTGAATAACCTGCAAGGCTCCAACGTTCCCACTTCACCATTGGTTTAGTGACAACCATGTCTTATTCTTCTCGCCTACACAAAGAAACAAAAACTCGCACCTTAAGTAATAATCCCTTTCGAAAGTGTTGAGTATCGATAAGTCTGCGGCTTACAATGTTGTTCGGTGATCATAAGACGTCATTTGGTCACAATGTATAATCCTACCCTCAGACAATACTTTCATTTACCTGAGGTCAAATCTCCGACCTGGCCATACGATATACTTATAATTAAGGACCTGTTGAATTCAAGGCATTGAGAATCGATATTTAAAGAAACATGGACATGTTGAGCCACTGACTCTTCAAAAATGTTATTCTAGTACCGGTTTATCAAAGAAACATGGGCTATAGGGTAAACTTCTTTAGGTAGATAACTTCTTTACATACTAAAAGCACTTCCAGAGATTTTTTTACACAATTGATGAATGCTTAAAGGAAAAACAAAAAACAGAAAAATATATATATATATATATATATATATATATATATATTCATTTCTACTTGAAACAAAAGCTTATATATATCCACAAGGGTTCTAAAACTTGTTCTTGATTTGATATACAGAACATGTAACCTCTGCGATTAAATCCAATCTTACTTGATGATTTTAAAATAAAATTGAATAACACATATTAAACGATTGTTTGTTGCCTAAAATTAAAATAACAAAATAAAATAGTTGCATTGTATTATTAAAGGCGAAAAATAATAAGATAATATGATAATCTTAGCTTGGAATGAGAAGAAAAGAAATAACAAAAAAACAAGTAATAGTATTCAAGTTTCCAAGTGGATGATGCTTTCACTGTTATCCATAAGTTTGAAACCAAAGTCCGGTATTCCTTTGATCCCAACCTTCTTATGGTCCGGCATTCCTTTGATTTCAACCTTCCTCCAATCATTCTTCAGTATATCATAATAGAGAATGTAAAAGGGGAACACAACTCACTTGGTACCAAGATAACCTCGCCGTTTTGAGTTGTATCTTCTACCGTCAATAGAATGTCGTTATCAACTAAAGCAGCTGAGAAGGCTGCAAACTCAAAGCTTTCCTCGACCAGTTTCCAGCATTTCCAAGACCCATAAGTCCACCAAACCGTTTTCTTTAAGACTAGTATGATAAAAAATAGCTGGTTTCCCACCATACTCTATAAAACCCAGAGAGCCAACATATGCAGACACCACAAGAGGCGCTTGGATTATGTTAAATTCTTCAGATCTAACGTCAAAGCTGACAACGATATCCTCAAACATACTAGTGAAAGCAAGATAATATATAACTCCACCGATGCACAGTCCAGGTCTTGTAGATATATGAGGTTGATCAAACTCTATTCTTTTCCAAGAATCTCCAACTTCTAGTACGAAGACCCAATGCTCCAAGTTTATCATGTCCAAATCTTGTGAAGATGATGACACAAAATTACAAACTACTTTGTATTGATCAAGAACAGGATCGTGTCCCAAGAAGTAGAGGACACTATGATCATTTCCTTGAACAAAGATGTTGAATTTGATGGCGGGTAAGGTTACGCTTTGTAATCTATACAATCGAAGTTGTATGGTACATAATATGCATCACCATGCACGCCAAAAACGATGGTTCAAGAGGAGTAATTAATAAGATCTAAATTGTTTCAATCCTAATTTTTGTTTTTTAAATTGTGCACTTAAATGGGACAAAACAAATTCATTAAAACAAAAAATAAGTCACATTTAAAATGGAAAATATTTTCAATTTTTAAGTACGTGTCAAACACAAACAGATCTTCCATTCGTATTTGACATTTACTTTTTAAAACTAATTAACAAAGGAATTTTTGCTTGCAATGTGTGAAGTCTTATGTTCATATTTGGAAAAGAAACACAAATACAAACGATGGAAGTCTAAGTGAAAATACCTGGAGCCAATCCGAATCCATGCAAACTTGAAGAGAAGTGAGACCCATTGGGTGTTTTGCTTGTATGTTTGTTAAGTTTGGGGGAGAGTGAGAGTTTTTAAGACAAGTTCCTGAACAGAATCTAGAGAGAGAAATATTGTAGAAGAGAGAAATGTGAGATGATGAGAAGAAGACTTGGCCGGGAGTTTTCCGGGAGCCGATTATGGTTGACCATTGCTTGGAGACGCATTAGAATCTCACAAGAGACTTGGCCGGGAGTTTCTTCAGTATCTCCACCGTCAGATCGAAAGGAATATTGATATCACCGGCTATTATTTCAAGGCAGCACTTACGTTTAGGAGATTGTGAGAGCTTATGATCATTCTCTTCTCTTTCTCCCTTCATAGTGATTAGTTACTTAAAATTCATCATCTCTACATGCACAAGAAAGATGATAGGAATAGTAACTGACAAACTCTATACCGGCAACTCTTGCTCCGATTATGATCATGACATGGTCAATAGAAAAGCAATTGGCTGAAAGATGCTAACTTTGCCAATGAAAGACCATCATAGATCTAAATGTCTCTAGCAAGAGACTCTATCTTGCATATGAGATTAACATACCTCGTATACTTGTTATGTGATTTGAAATTCAAACAAACAAAGGTAGGTAAAAATAAATCAGTAGTTCAATTAAACAGCAAACCCACTTTTTTGGGTCTGCTGATGTCATCTTTTTAATCTAACAGTTGAGGTTAGTTTTCATTTAATCTTAGGGCTGTGAAATCAATCAATAAATCATAATATACTAGCTACCATGTTTCTTATTCTTCTTAGTAAGATGATTTTTGATCAAAGTCAATTTTGTCACCATAAAAAACAAAGGTAAGTTCAAAATTCAAAATATCAAAAAAAAAAAAAAACAATCAACATAAATAAAACAAAATTACAAAATAAATAGTTCCCAATGTATTGAAGGTAAGAAATGTCGACATGGCAATTTCAAATTTCCAAGTGCAGGATACTTTCACTCTCATCCATAAGATCGAAATAAAAAAGTAAGTTGGTGTCATCAAGCTTACCAAACCATTGTTTCGGTATTCCTCTGATTCTAACCTTTCTCAAATCATTTTTTTTGGGATCATAATACAAAACGTAATAAGGGGAATGCAACAATACGGGTGCCAAGATAATCTCGCCGTTTTGAGTAGTACCTTTAACCGTGAATGATAATTTCTTATCAACTAAATGCATCTGACAAGGCTGCAAAACCAGGGATTTCTTCGACCATTTTCCAGCATCTTCCAAGACCCATAAGTCCACGGAACCTTTGCGTTTAAGATGGGAATGATCAAAAACAGATGGTTTTCCAAGATACTCTATAAAACCCATGGGCTTAAATGCAGACGCGACAGGAGGTCCTTGGATCCATTTGAACTCTTCAGACATAACATCAAAACTGACAAGGATATCGCTAGACATACAAGCGGAAGCCAAAAAATATATGACTCCGTTGATGCACAGTCCTAGTCGTGCAGGACAATGAGGTAGATCAAACTCAATTCTTTTCCACGAACCTCCGGGTTCTAGTACGAAGACCCAATGCTCTGAGGTTATCCTCTTAAACCTTTTTGAGGATACTGCAACAGTGCAAACTACTTTGTATTGATCAAGAACAGGATCGTGTCCTAAAAAGTAGAGGACACTCTTATGATAATCTTCTTGAGCAAAAATGTTGGATTGGACGGCGGGTAAGGTTACACATTGTCTGGTGGTGGGATTATAGATACACGCCTTTCTGCAAACAATGTATAGAATCAAGCCGCGAAGAATCATCATGTTGCGTCCTCCCATCCCTGGCATTGTCAAATCTTGGTGGAAAGACTTTGCATCAGTACTAGACGATGATGATAATGATAGCAATACAGACTCGCGAGGGTTATAGCAGACTTCCATTGAATTACACTGGATGTGGTCCACCAAACTCATGTATAGACGAGGTGCTCGCGGTGGGGAAGCCACCGTAAGATAACGATTGCTAAAATATCGACAACGGATAAGAGAAAACCAGAGCTTTGAAACGCACTTGAACCTCATCAGCGATTTAGCAGGCAATCTAATCAGAATCTCGATCTGGAGATCCAAAGGAATCTCCGATGCGAACCAATCGTCCCCTCGTCTTCTTCTCATTGCCTTTGACGACTTTTTCTTCCATTGAAAAGATGAAATCAGAGCTAGAGACATAACAATAGCTACTAATTTCACAAACTTTTATATCAGAGCTGGAAATTTTGATAAAAATTTACTCTTTTTTCTAAGGAAAGGAAGGAAAAAAAAAATAAAGAAGCTCTTTTTGAGATCTGAGTAAGAGAGACAAAAACAGAGGAAGAAGACGAGCAGGCTGAGCTCACGATTCTAGGTTTTCAAAATCTTTGGCAATTTTCTTCTTACACCCAAACGACGTCGTTTGTCTTTGCTCTAGTCTAAGGAAAAGTAGTAAACTCTTTGGGCTACCAATAATTGGGCCTTAATTTGTGCTCTCAAACTCTTTTATGATGAAGCAAGAGATGATGATAGGCTGATAATACGTACCCCGGGCCATTAGCGGATTGCTTCAAAATTTGTTAAAGAATGAATACTAACTTGTGAACTTAATGTAATGAAACAAGCTGATCTAAATGATTCTTTTAAGGCAAATACCATAAAAAAATTTTTACCTACATATGTAAAAGCCAGTCTATTTACCCTGATGGAGCTGGTTTGTGACTTTTCCATCCGCGGTTATTTTCTTTGCTTTACTATGAACAACATCCACTTTTACAAATATATCATCCATCATCTTCCTGTTATGTGTGTTTGACTTGCACATACTCACAAGATGCCACGCTGTTGTTATCTACATAATTTCATTCCTTTCTTTCGTACCTTAATACTATTTTTCATTTGATAGTGCTTTGTTATCACAGATTTCATTTAAGGGTTTCTGATATCTTGATCTAAAGTGTATATATATGACTCCACTTTTTCAATTAGCATGGGCGCCCAGGTATCTGCATTTTAACCGAGTGGGATGAGTTCAAGAAACTCGATTTCCAACGGATCTTTGAGAATATGCAGAAACCGGCTTTTGTTTTTGACGGTAGAAACGTGGTCGACGCTGATAAACTCAGGCAGATTGGATTTATTGTTTACTCCATTGGTAAGCCATTGGACCAGTGGCTCAAGGACATGCCTGCTCTTGCCTCAACAACAACCAAACCTCTTCCTTAGCTTTTTTCTCCATTTTTTCCTAATTCTCATGAGTTTTTCCATATATCTTTAACTATGTTTTGATCAATAATTGTCGCTTTTTTTTCTTGGTTTTATGAATTCCAACAGAGATTTTAGGTTTGGTTTTTGTTGGTAATTATGTACCTTGGGTTATCAAATATTGTAAAGCTTTTCGAGTATTATTTTCATAATATAAAAGCTTTCCCTAGCTGATTTCTACTTCAGTTTCTAATATGAGTAAAAGATTCTGTTAAATTATTTTTCCAATTTAGTCGACGCCTCGACGGTCATGATGTGCCACGTGGAACCTTGTAGTCGAAAAATAAAGTTTCGCTCCTCTGTTCTTGACGATTTACTATAATGCCCCTTTCACGACGTTACTTCGCTCAGTGCTTATATCTTCTCCGCTTCTCTCTGTTTCCTCCATTCCTCTCGCTCACTTGTTCTCCCGAAAAGTCACAGAAACTCAAAATGTTTGTATTCTTTCGTTTGATTCGATAGTCTCAAGCTTCTCTGTTTCTTCGACACTTTCTCTCTCAGTATTTCTCAGGAAAGTGACGAGAAACAGAGCATAATCCTCCTTATTTCTTCAACTCATCTGAGAGTTTCTTTGATAATGAGTCCGGATTGGGTTTGTTGCTTTATTATCTACCTCTACATCATCTACCTCGTCTTCATTGACTTCTTCTTTATCAACAAACCCCGTGTATTTCGCGCCTAAATGGAAGAAGAACACCAAGATCTTCTACATAAACCCATCTATGGAGCTCTGCGAAATCTGAAGATTACTCAGTCACGCAACAAACCAACAGCGAGATTTTACTTGTTACTACGGTATAAGGGAAAACCCGAAGAAGAAAACCCTGGAATCTCCGGAACTAATGAAGAAGATTTTGTTTCGATGCGAAGAATGTGGAAAAGGGTTTCGGTACGAGAAATGTTTTTCAAATCATCGAGCGACGATGCATTTATCGACGAACCAGAAGGTTTATGAAGAATCCATGATGACTCTGTGTCGTATCTTCAGTTTTGTGAGGAAGAAGAAAAGATCGAGACTTGTTAGGTATAAGAAGACTTCATTTTCTTGTTCGTATAGTACATTTCTTGAACCGCGTTCTGTTTTTGATGCGAATGATGAAGAATTAGAAGTGGCGGATTGTTTGATTCTATTGTCTGAGAGTACTCCCAAGTTTGTAGACGGACTGAAACTTCTTGCTGAGGCAGTACATGTTACTCATGATTCATGAAACACCTAAAAGTAGCTATGATTTGGGTTGTTTGCGTAACAAGAAACCGCGAAAAGGTGGTGAATTTGAATATGGGGTTTTCAGTGATGAGCAAAGATTTATGGAAGAAAGGTTTAGTAGTTATGGAACATCGAAAGAACCAGCTAGCTTCTTGAGAGATGATAACAGATTGGATCAGCAGAAACGAAGAAAAGCTGGTGAATTTGAATCTGGGTTTTTGAGTAATGAGCAAAGAATGCTAAAAGAAGAGATTACTACTCCTGTTACATTCAAAGGTCCAGCAAGTTTCTTGGGATACAAGTGTGTTTTGGATCAGCAGAAGCTGCGAAATGGAGGTGAATTTGGTTCTTTGAGTAATGAGCAAAAACTGATGGAAGGGACATGGAAAGAACCAGCGAGTTTCTTGGGAACAAAGATTGAATTGGAACAGCGGAAACTGCGAAAAGCTGGTGACTTGGAAAACTGGGTATTACAGAACTGAGCTTGGAGTAGGAGCTATGGAGTGTTCTGATTCAGATACTGAGATGATCACTGAATCTGATAAGAAGAACGTTGAGCATCAATGCAGGTTTTGCAACAAGATATATTCGTCTTATCAAGCATCAGGAGGTCATCGGATGAGCAAATGTAAGAACAAGAAGAATTTCAGAGAGGAATCAGTGAACAGTGTTCGCTTGGTTACAATGACTAAATATCTGATTATTTGACAACATATTTTGGAAGTGATATTTGCCTGCAATAGACCAAGATATTTAAGAGAGAAGCAGATATTACTTAAATCCAAAACAGACACCAAGTATATTCCTGTTTTGCAGAAGGTGCACATGGTAAATCTGAAATCACAAACCAAAACCAGTGTATCGCTCAATCACAGGATTTAATGAGAGTTTAGAAATCCTTGTTGAGCTCACTGCAATCTAAATCCATGTTTTGCAAAAGGTGCACATGGTAAATCCGAAATCACAAACCAAAACCAGTGTATCGCTCAATCACAGGATATAATGAGAGTTTAGAAATCCTTGTTGAGCTCACTGCAAGATGCATCCCTGTTTTGCTGGCTGGGAGCTTAATAGCTATGACCATACTTCCGACGACGGTGCTTCTTCTTACCCTTCCTATGACCAAACATCCTCTTCTGTGCTGCAGTGAGGCTCATGGTCCCAGGACCTCTATTGAGCTTTTTCCTTGCAGACCGGCTAAGTTGAGGCTGAGACACTTGCACAACAGGAGGACGTTGAACAGGGCGTGGGAGATCTCTGATCAGATGGTTTCTGTTGACAGTCAGACCTGTCACAACAAACAAAAAAAAAGATACAGGAAATAATCAGAATCCACCATATCAAACGACGGAGGTAAATCTGAGAAATAAAGTAAGAATGTTTTCATACTATTTTGATTTGCTATTTCAAATTGTAAAATTTCAGCACCAAACTTATCCTAGGCTCAGATCTGAACTAAAGATATACAAGAATTAGCAAAGAGAAAATCAGAGCAATGGAATGTTCATTCTTAAATCTCACACACAAGCAACAATATGCAATACTAAACTATAACATAAATCTAATCGATATAGGTTCTCATTGAGAATATATCTAACATACATCCAACAGGTTCTTATGTTCACAATAAAAGACCATTTGTCTAAATCTTAAGTTAACTGAGAATCAAATATCGGTTAAACAATCTGAGCTGGAAACAAATTGATCCCAGTCAATCCTGTATTGTCAAAAACAAAACCAAATCAAAGAAGAAGATAAAGTTTAATATGTACCAGGCTGCCCATTGACGTGCACAACCTGAGAATCAGAGCGTGGGAGAGATGTACCAACTGGTTCATAAAAAAAAGAGAGAAGATGAGTGCAGAGCAATGGAATGATCATATACCCTTGCAAAAGGTATGTATTCGCATATAACTCATAAGCCAGTTTTAAATCTCACACACAAGCAACAATATATGCGATACTAAACTATAACATAAATCTAATCGATATAGGTTCTCACTGAGAATATATGTAACATAAATCCAACACACCGTTCTGAGAATACAAACCCGAGAAGAGCTTAGATAGTTATATAAGTTGCTATCTATGAATCAAAGAATCAAAGACAAAAGAACAGTAGATATGAAACACACCGTTGGAGACTTCAATATCAGTGAGATTATCATCAGAGGAAGCCATTTCATAAGACGATTCTATACAACAAAGATAATCGGAAACCGTAAGAATCATATACTGAATCGAAATCTCAGGTTTCATAACTACAGATCTGATAAATACCTTTGCTCGGGATTGAATCGGAATCGGAATCACTGTGTTGCTTCTCAGATGAAGCGTTTCCAGAAACGATACTGGTACTCATTGCCGATTCTATAACAAAATTCGAAAACCTTAAGGATCGACGACTGAAATTGAAAATCTCAGTATCCATAACAAGTTCAAAGAATCGAAGACAGAAGAACCATAGATCTGCAGCATACCATTCAGGATTGTTTCAGCAGCAGCAGTGAGGTTCTTCTTCCCAGATTTCTTCATGAGCTTCAGCCTCAGCGCCAAAGCAAGCTTCTTCCTCATTTTTGATTTTCAATTTCAAAATCAATTGAAAATTAGAAACAATTGCCGGTATAAATGGAGTCGGATGGGTAAAACAGAAAAGGCCAAAGCCCATTACTTATTATTTGGGCCACGATTAAAAAGGCATTCAGCTTTGCTGCAGCGCAAAAATTAAAGTTTGGGCCTTAGCCTTCCAACGTATATTAGAAGAGGTTGGCCGAACATGGTTTACGTAAAATAACTTTTACTTACTAATGAAAACAATTAATTTTTTTTTTTTCTTTTGGTAAAAATAAATCAGTAGTTCAATTAAACATAATGGGAAACTCATACTCCTTATGTTTCACATTAAGTAAAGTTTTTTTTCATTTTTAACTTATACAAAAATTTAAATTTATTTATAATAAAATCAATCAATAAATCATAATATACTAGCTACCATGTTTCTTATTCTTCTTAGTAAGATGATTTTTGATCAAAGTCAATTTTGTCACCATAAAAAACAAAGGTAAGATCAAAATCCAAAATATCAAAAAAAAAAAAACAATAACATAAATAAAACAAAATTACAAAATAAATAGTTCCCAATGTATTGAAGGTAGGAAATGTCGACATGACAATTTCAAATTTCCAAGTGCAGGATACTTTCACTCTCATCCATAAGATCGAAATAAATAAAAAGTAAGTTGGTGTCATCAAGCTTACGAAGCCATTGTGCCAGTATTCTTCTGATTCTAAACTTTTTCAAATCATTTTTTTTCGGATCATAATATAGAACGTAATAAGGGGATGCAACAATAAGGGAGCCAAGATAAAAACATGCTCGTCAGGGACACCATGAGCTACAAAAGTCAAAAACAAGTAAATAAGCAACAAATTTTTACCCAGATATCAAGCATCGAGTCATACATTCAAATTATTTATGTCATGCACATAAATCTCACAAATGGTTGATGTTAAAATATATATATTTCTGATTAATGTCATGATTCGATTCACAATCATTATCAGAAAACCTGAACAAATTATTTATGTCATGCAAATAAATCTCACAGATGGTTGATGTTAAAATATGTATTTAAAAATTAAGATATACATACAAAGTAAAGTAATTGAAAAATTTTAAAAGTCCATTTGATATTATAGTGTATATAGAAAAAAAAAATCATAAACAGATCTAGTGCAAATTCAACAGTTCACAAAGAGAAAGTAGCTAGTTAGCTGCCAAAATAGAATCTCTAAGCTTGGTTCGCGAAATCAAAATAAGCATATCATGATCTGGATTCAAACTATCAAAACACAAAGAAATCGTCACTAGAATCCATAGCATCGAAGAGAAGTAGAATTTGATCAAAATTGAAGTGAATCGAAATGAACAACTAAGATTGATGAAATAAAACTCTTAAACACACTGAAATCATCACCGTATCATTACTAGAATCTCTAGCATCGATGATCAGTAGAAATTGATCATAAAATCGTAGTGAAGAGAAGAGAACCTGCTTTAGTTAGCTCGAGATAAATTAAAGCGGTAATGGGATGGGCTAAATTATCATTTCAAAAGAAGTTAAAAGAGAAATTAAAATTCAGGCCATATAAACTAATATACATATTATAGAATTAAAATAATGTTGCAAAAAATTGATTATGGCTTATTACATGTTATTCAAAATTCTTTTTTTTTCAATTTCTTACAAGAAAAATATCTTCAATATTACGTATTATTTTTTTATTTCGTAGGGGTCAACTTTGAAAATAATTGGTTGATGTTAAAATATATTTTGAAAATTATGATATACATACAAAGTATGAAAAATTAAGAAGTTCCTTTGCTAGTAAAATCTCATAAATTTCGCATAAAAGTGTACCAACCAAAAAAAAAGAAATGACCTTTCATGAAAAATCAAAACACCAAAAATACTCCCAAATCTCGCACCTTCATACAATAATTTTTTTTGTGGTAAGAGAAAAAAGTTTAGTCAAGAGAGATTTAACATCATCTTTTTCTCTCTTGCACAAAACAAACTAGATTTAATGATCTTGCCAACTCTGAGTGTAGAACCATAGTAGTTAATTAACGTAGTAGTACGAGATTTGTCGACTTAAATCTCCAAAATAGAAGGAAAGAAAGAATATTAATAGAGAATTCGACCAAAAGATAACATCTATTTTAGATTCGTTGCTTAAGATCAAGATGATATAATACAACCAAAGCTATATCTATAAAATGCTACTCAACAAAAAAAAAACCCAAAAAACCTCTTCGAATTTCTATTTCCTCTTATAAACCAAAGAGAAACAGAGGATTTGGTATGTGTCATCTCACGTTGCAGCACTGAGGTTTGCCTGTCAACACCAACTTATCCCACAAGCATATCATCTGTCTTGGCGACTGATAATGCGCCGTCAAGTAATTCTCTATGCAACCAAACTGACAGAACCTGAGGCTGTGAATGTAGTCCACCGGTTTTGTACCATTGTTGAATTGTTCTACCCACATTCCCACACTTACATCTTCCATTTTGAACATCTGTAGTATCAAGAATGAGAGAAAGGAAAAAAGACTAGTTATATAGATGCATATGTTCTGTTTCGAATTTGATTAGGTAACGTTGATTGGGAAAATCTGTTGCAGCGTACCCTTAATTTGTGTTTCTCAAACTCTTTCACTATGAAGCGAGAGATATCGTTTGATAATATGTATCCAGGGCCATTAGCATAAGGTGGATAGTCTTCCTCTGGCCATTCCTGGAAAAACAGATAATGTAACATTAACTTTTGAATTCATATGAGGAAAGAACGGATACAAATGATTCTTTAAGCAAAAAGATTATAAATTTTTACCTCATATGTAACAGCCCATTTACCCTGGCGGAGTGGTTTATGATAATAATTGATGTTGCCAATGTATAGACTTCTATCGGCAGGTGTTCTCTTCGCTTCACTAAGAACCGCATCCACTTGTACAAATGTATCATCATCACACTTCATGATGAATTTAGCAGCAAGTTGATGAGCCTGCAAAACAAAGAGTAGAGAAACTCTTTACCTATATTGAATAATTGAAAACACAGCATCAAGTGTTGAATCTTAGAATCAGCGGGACTCACCCCGTACTCGCAAATTGCAACGGTTTTGAGGACGACAAGGTCATAACTGTCCATGTAAGGGACTATAACTATGTCTCCAAAGAATTCAGCTTCCTTCTTTAGCTCCACATTTACTTCTTTCCTCGAGTGCTGCCCAAATAAACACCTGAGTTTAGCTAGCAATTCGATATGTAAAGCTCTTTAATTTAACCTAGAAGACCAAAATCAGATCACTTGTAAATTAGTCTAAACTTACCAGTGCAACAAAGAACCGAGCGACTACTTTGGAAGATTTCACGAGTTTATGTTGCATCCACGACCTCCTCACAGCCATCCGCTCAGCAAAATGGTTACCAGCAGAAAGGATACCAATGAACATATCAACTTGCTCATCAGGAAGTGATGGGGCTTGCCAATTGCTCGAGAGCTCAAGGTGCCTCTCAGGAGAAAAACTAGGATGCGAGGTTGGGAGAGAGCCAGCGAAAACCGAGTGAACATCTATGTCTCCGTTAATGGTTAGACCAGTAGCATCCTCAAGCGTAAATCCCTTCATATATAGCCAACAAAACACCCACATAGACAATCATCAGTTCATGCCAATCACTAATCGAACCACAACAAGTTTAAGTCAGGGCAAAACATCACTTACAGTTCGGTATGGAAAGGACGTAACGTGCTTCCCATCGACACTAACATGATAACCTTCCAACCCAGCACTAAGTGTAAGCACGAAAAGCTTGTCAACTGTGAATGGAAATGGCCATTCAACAGTTACTTTCTTGCTCCGACCTATTAATCGACTAAGCCACCATGAAGCCGCCTTGCTAGACTCTTCTTTAGATGTAATGCTATCATCTCGAGCCCATTTCTCGCACTTAACCTGACCATCAACTACACCCATTCTTACTAATTAGTATCCCCAACACAAACACCAAGCGAACCAACAGATGAAAAATAAATGCTTTCGAACAAATAAATATACTAACCAGTCTCTTCATCATCCCTAGATCTCCATCCTTCACATCTTTGTGCTGAACCCCATTGCATTCTATAACAAGTGTTCTGCTCAATGACAGGCTTACCACTCCAATCACCCTTAAGCCTTGGATTCAAGTGGAGGATCCGAGGTGGCTCTTCTCCTTCAACTGCTTTCAAACCCTGAAGCTCCAACTTAAACTGTGAAACCTTAACAGCTTCATCTCCTTCCTTTAACATCGATATCTTCGGGTCCTTCTCCGAATGAGCAGCTCTTGGCTTCCCAACCACTGTAATATGTGACCCAAGAGTTAAACCACATGGAAGCTCCATGAGATTCCCACGTTTCGAAAGATCAGACCCGGTTAAGGAAACAGAGAGAGAGCACGAGTTTGACCCATGTTCCTCAATCTTCTTCTTCTTCTCCTTCTCCAAAGCTTTCAACGTTTTCCCAGACTCAAGCTCTTCCCATATCTTTCGACCAACTTCCCAAGCTACCTTAGCGGATTTGTGAAGCTCCACTGACCCATCTTTGCTACTCGGGTTAAACGTTTCCGGGTCAAATCTCAAACTAGATAAGATCCGAGTGCTCCTTCTTAAACCTTGAGCCGGTGGTTCCGATTGTGATTCCTGGTAAAGCAGACTCTTAAAAGGTCGACTCGGAGCTCGTCTCTCTTGTAATTCTCGTTGGCTATTATGCTTCTCGGGTCGGGTTAACGGATCCTGAGACAAGGAACTAAGCCCGGTTTTGAAGACGAAAGGGATTTCGAATGTGATTAGAAGCATGTAGAGTAACCCAACCGCCATTAGTATCTGAACAGATCTCTGCTTGCTAAGAGAGACGAACATGTCGAATTTCTCTAACCTCTCGAGTTTCGATAACTTGGGCTTCCTCATTCCTAAATTATACCAAGAAAAATCCAAACTTTTTTACTGGAAACAGAAACCCTAGTGATGATGATCAAAGAGGAACAGAATCTCAAAATTCAAATTTTCAAAAAAAAAAAAAAAAAAATCAAATCTTGAGAAATCACGATGAACGGAAAACAATCAGTAGATTGATGTGGTTAGGTTACTAAAAATTCGGAGATTGAAAATGTTTCAATTGAAAAACCCTTAAAACACGAAGAGAAAAAATCAAGAACTTTCCTTGGAAAAGACAAATCTTTGGTGAGAAAATTCAAAACCCAAAAGAAACATAAAAAGGAAAAATTTTAGTCTTCTAGAGAGAAAGAGAGACGCGTCAGGATAATTTGGAGAAGGAAGCAAAAGGAAGAAGAGAAGAGAAGAGCCTTAAGCCTCTCTTCTTTCTTTCTTAGTTAGTGCTGCTGACGTCCGAATAAACCGCCGTTTTGGTCCATCTCTCTTTTTCGAATCTTTTCTTCGCTTTTAAATCTTTCTTTTTTCCTTATTTAATTTAGTTTTCGATTAAAGTTATAGATTCGTTGGATTTATCTTTATTGAAACGGTGTGATTTAAAGTAATTTTAATATTCTGGCTAAATTAGTTCCACCAATAGAAAAAACGGTCCGAATTAAGTATAAGATAAAACGGTTAAGCAAATCAAAGTTTTCGTCTTGATCACAGAATGTAAAATGACTTAGATTTGAATCCGTGGTGTACCGCGGGGCTATAATTTTTTTTTTTTAAATTCTAAATATAATTAGTTTTGTTTATTAATAAAGAGTATAATATAATATTTCGACCTATTTTATAAATATACCATCCATATATCTATATTAATAGTGTTGAGTATCTATATATACATTTAAATGACATTTGGCTTTTTTCTTCTTCTTGCCTCAGTTAGGATAAAGATTTTTCTTGCGGTACACCGCGGAGCTATTATTTTTTTTTAAAAAAATTTCTTCCTTAAACTTCCAAATCTAGACTTTACCCCGCGGTACACCGCGGGTCGATTTTTTTATAACTAAAAAATTATTTTGCAAAACTTTAAGTTGTATTTGTTTTGTTAATATTGTTTATTTTGTTTAGTGTTTCTGATTTTATAATTAAATTTTGATTTTTAATTCTAGGATTTCATGCATAGTATATTGTTTAATATTAATATTGATCTAAACCCGTTGCACCATATAACCCCGTCCCGTAAAATCAAACATCATTTGTTATTTTTTTGAATAATATTTTTATCCACTACGGGTCGCAGGTTCATGCGGATAAACCCGTAGAGAGTTGCGGGTTTGCGGGTCGACCCACCAAAAGAGAAGCTATCTTTTGAAACCCTTTGTTTTGTTTAGAGGTTTTAAGAAAATATCTCTAAAAAATAATTTTCATTATATGAAAAAAAAGAAGTAGAAGAAATTGTAGTATCAACATTCCCGATTTTTACATCACTCGTTACAATTAATTTTTTTTTTGCAGATAAAAATCAGAAGTTAACTAAGTCGAGATTTTTAAAAAGATTGTGTATAAATTTTTGGTAAATTGTTGAAAACATATTTGATTTCAAAATCTTTACTTAAATAGAAAAGGAAAGATTTTGTAGAGACTTTTGCTAAATATATGAGAAATGAATTTCAATTAAAAATCTTTACTTAAATAAAACAAATCTAAATAATTAATGCTAATGGCATGTCATTGTAAATACTTCTCAACTTCATGATTTATTTGTTAATTATGATCAAAAATGTATATATAAATTAGCTATTAATATATGAATTTTAACAATAATTATCGTATTTCATTTTTTAGTAGATACGATTCTTATTTTTAAAATTTAAATTATTATTGATTAATGTCTACTTAGTCGGTGCTAAATCGGCCAACTGTGTCATTGCATCACCAATGAAGTCACAAAGGATTCCTATTCTCATGTTATTTTTGACTTTTCTGAATTTTCTCTGTTATTTCTAAATTTTAAGACCAAACTAATAATTTTTTTTTTTTGTGCAACAACAAAATTTAAACAGAAGAAATTGATAATCAAATTAGTGTTTCTTGTTTTTTAAAAAAAAATAGAGGAAAAAAATAAAAGTGGACCACCAAAGGCTTTATGGGAAAATGGAAACAATGAAATTGGGCTTCATGTGTGACACCTTTGCATCCAGGTGTCTTCTCTTTCTCCACTTGTCTTTTCCGCCTTTATATTATTCATCTAAATAAATAAAAAACCATTCCACTTAATTCGACTTTCTGTATAATTAACAATAAATAATTTTTTAAAAAAAAATTGCCCAAAAACGATCAATTTCTAATTTGTTTGGTCTTTAACTATTGAGACGAACTTTTTCGTGCTAAACATTTAGAGCATTCAAACGATGGAGTCAATGGTATAGAATTGACTTTTAAGTTTTAATTCAATAAATAGGTTTAAGAGCTTTTTTGTTATAAATTGTTTTAAAACGTTGATATTTCTATATTCATAATTAATTTATAAAATACGAAAACAAACACAATTATTATTTTTATTTTTGTTAAAGAACACAATTAATGTTCAGATTGGGAAAATAAGAAGGTGATCTTTGTTAAGCATGCAAGGCTGAACTTGAAACCATCGAAACGAAAAATTACACTCTTGGCTCTTTGTATTTGTTCGCAACTACCTTGGAAAGTTATAAACTATGAAGATCGCCGACAAACAAACAAAAAAACTAAAACATGTCATATCTATCATTCATGTTAGCGTTTTATATATTTAGCTAGCTAGAATTTGGCTTTTGTGATTAAGCAATTAAAATTTAATTTATGGTCCATTATCACAAGAACTTAAGATGATCACAATTGAAAGACCGTATATGCTCATTGCTCAAGATACACTTTTTTTTTGTAAAGAAAAAAAAAAAGACACGGAAGTTAAACATTTTATTGTAGCCTTGCTCGTGTTATAAATTATTTAAACAAAAATCCATCTAATTTCACATCGTGATTTGACGTCATATATTTTAGCCTAGCTCATGTTACATAACTTTAAAAAATCTATGTATTGGACATCGATGTCTTTGCTAGATGATAACAGCATTGAAACTCTGTAGCAAGGAATAGAAGGTCAATCAAAATGAAATCTTAGTATATACAAACTCCGTTACGAAATGAGTAATTATTCTTTCACGGATGATCAAATGCTTATTATTCACGAAATCCACACAGCCATATATACTTATCTCCATTATAGACTATCATCCATCAACAAAGTTAATGTTGCGCGTCATTACCAACCATATATATGTTTGCATATCACATACACATATACAAAAGGCGTTGTTTAGGCTCATCATATCATCTTTTAACAATTCACAAGAAAGAACCCATCAAGAGAAGAAACTTACCCACATCATTGGACTCCCTAATTCTATTTTTTATTAAGAAAAAGCGAAACGACTGACAAAAAACAAATCAAGAACAACTAATATTTAACTTATTTTTGGTTAAAATAATGCGACGTTGAATAAAAACATCAAGAACAGCGTAACTGAAAGTCCACGACTCTCTTGTCATTAAGAAGGTTTGGACTTGGCTGAGGAACAAAGAAGACTATATCAGAACCAAAGTCTTCGATTTCAACAAGAAAATGAAAGTAGAAGACTCCAATACCGGCGGTGGAACAGTTCTGGTAATATTCTTTTAGATTTTCGTTGACATTTGAAGAGATGATATATCTCACTATACATACACTTGAATCATTGCCACTACAAAGACTTTGTCTAGTAAAAAAAACTTTAACTCTAATTAGAAAAAAAGAACTAATGAATATCACTTGGATTAAATGACAACTTTGATTAAAATAATAAATCAATCAAGGATTACTAAAGAAAGTTTATTTATGTGAGGGGGTTACTTTGGTTAATTTTAAAATTATTTAGGTCATCGTATAAATCTACCTATTTTATTCAATAATTTTTCTCATCATTTTCTGTTCTCATATATTTTTTTTTTATATAATTGTAATTTGTATTAACAAAACGGCAATATATACAGTAGCTGTAAACTGTGTACTGTAATTAAAAGAGATTTGTCTTCAATTGCATCTTAGTGGCGCATTATCACTTGCCTCATATCTCTTACCTTCTCCGATCTATCTCTCTATTTGTCCACCTCATACACAACCCTATAAACAAGACAAGACCTCGCAAAGCTCAAACCTTTTCCTTCTTTTTCTATCAAGTTCCTCACTTCTCGGATCCGGGTCCTAAATCTGGGTCAACCCTTTTACGATCATCGGAAATGGACCCTCCACTTGTGAACGATTCCTCCTTCTCCGCAGCTAATCCTTCTTCTTACACTCTCTCCGAGATTTGGCCTTTCCCTGTAAACGACGCCGTTCGCTCTGGTCTCCGTTTAGCCGTTAACTCCGGTCGAGTCTTCACTCGGTCTGAACATTCCGGCAATAAAGACGTCTCCGCGGCGGAGGAATCTACTGTCACCGATCTAACTGCTGGCTGGGGAGGTAGAAAGACTAGAGATTTGAACTCTGAGGACGATTCTTCAAAGATGGTTTCTTCCAGCAGCAGTGGTAATGAATTGGTGAGCTTTTGCACTTCAATTTTTGAAAAGCCCTGATTTTGATTTGAGTATTTGAATCTGTAACTAAAGTTTGAATCTAGATCCTTAGCTTGGAGGTGATCTAAGAAATCAATGAGTCAAAGCATAAGTCTTTGATTTAGGGATCAAGGATTAGTTTATAGATTAGATGACTTATATCCTTTGACTTTTTGACTTAGTTGGATTGAGCTTAAAGACCGTTAGTTTGATAGATGTTGGAATGGTCAATGCTCATTGTTTCTCTCTGTATATCGCTTAAGTGATTTTAGATCGAGAGTTTGGTTTAGGATCTTAAGCATTTCCATCTGTTTACTTTTTTTAACAGAAAGAATCAGGCGATAAGAAAAGAAAACTGTGTGGATCTGAAAGTGGAAATGGAGATGGTTCGATGAGACCTGAAGGCGAAACAAGTTCGGGTGGTGGTGGTGGAAGCAAAGCAACGGAACAGAAGAACAAACCTGAGCCACCAAAGGATTATATCCATGTGAGAGCAAGAAGAGGACAAGCTACTGACCGGCATAGTCTAGCAGAGCGAGTAATTCTTCTGCTGAATTACCAATTTTTTATCCTCAAAAACTGTTCCTTTTATTAGAAACACAATGTTGTCTTTGACAGGCTAGAAGAGAAAAGATCAGTGAGAAGATGACAGCTCTTCAAGATATAATTCCAGGATGTAACAAGGTACATGACAAGTCTGTTTTCTTATGGTCTTGCGAATGATGTTCTTATAGCCTTAAAAACACTCAACAAGATATTTCCGTTGATTTCAGATAATCGGAAAAGCCCTTGTGCTCGATGAGATTATCAATTATATTCAGTCGTTGCAGCGGCAAGTTGAGGTAAAAGTCGTTAACTCCTCTCTGTTATATGTTTCAATTGTAC